AAATATAATATGTTATATTTATCTAAATGTGAATCTACCTAGATCTATCCATTAACATGTCATTCGTATGTTACAATGGGACAAAAGTATGTAAATCGACTTCAAACAAATATATATAGGTCATCCGTTGGGGAATGTCTGTACTTCTATAAAACGCAACTACGTAATTCTAGGCTCAATTTTGTACGTTGTGCAGAATTTGATGTCAATCTGACTAACATGAGGAGTTTGATGCCCAATTTACTTGAAATCGGGCGAAAATATATATGGAAGTTCTATCCAAATATTAAGCGATTTCACACAAACTTGTCACAGGTTAGGTTATACTAATTTCAGAACGTTTTGTTCCTATCACCCTATTGGTTCCTTGTCGCGTCAATTACTTAAAATCAATCTATAATAAAAGGGAGCTATATTTAAATCATTATCGTTATGCCAAATTTCGTGCAAATCGAAGGATATATGGGGACTTTGGTGCACCCTTTACATGAAATCGGACGAAACTATACATGGGAGCTATATCTAAATCTAGACCGATTTTCTCGAAACTTGGCAGACATCATTCGAGGCTCAATTGAGTACGTTATGTCAAATTTTGTGCAAATCGAAAGATATATAGGGACTTTGGGGCACCATTTACATGAAATCGGACGAAACTATATATAGGAGCTATATCTAAATCTGGACCGATTTTCTTGAAACATGGCAGACATCATTCTAGGATCAATTCAGTACGTTATGCCAAATTTCGTGCAAATCGAATGATATATAGGGACTTTGGGGCACCATTTACATGAAATCGGACGAAACTATATATGGGAGCTATATCTAAATCTGGACCGATTTTCTTGAAACATGGCAGACATCATTCTAGGATCAATTCAGTACGTTATGCCAAATTTCGTGCAAATCGAAAGATATATAGGGACTCTGGGGCACCATTTACATGAAATCGGACGAAACTATATATGGGAGCTATATCTAAATCTGGACCGATTTTCTTGAAACATGGCAGACATCATTCTAGGATCAATTCAGTACGTTATGCCAAATTTCGTGCACATCGAATGATATATAGGGACTTTGGGGCACCATTTACATGAAATCGGACGAAACTATATATGGGAGATATATCTAAATCTGGACCGATTTTCTCGAAACTTGGCAGACATCATTCTAGGCTCAAATTAAGTACGTTATACCTAATTTAGTGCAAATCGAAGGATATATACAGACTTTGGTGCACCATTTACATGAAATCGGACGAAACTATATATGGGAGCTATATCTAAATCTGGACCGATTTTCATGAAACTTGGCAGACATCATTCTAGACCAAAATGATTAGGCTGTACCAAATTTCGTGCAAATCGAAAGATATATAGGGACCGTTTACATTAAATCGGTTAAATATATATATGGGAGCTATATCTAAATCTGAACCGATTTTTCCCAATTTCAATAGGGTTCGTCCTTGGGCCGAATAAGTGACTTGTGCCAAATTTCATCCAAATCGGATCATAAATGCGACCTGTACTTTGTTCACAAAAATACATGGACGGACAGACGGACGGACAGACGGACATGCGTAAATCGACTCAGAAAGTGATTCTATGCATATTCTCAAAAGTAACTATGGGTCTATCTCGATTCCTTTTGCCTGTTACAAACATATGCACAAAGACATAATACCCTGTACCACAGAGTGGTGAAGGGTATAAAAAAACAAATTATTCCCGCAAACAAAATTTTAACATTTTCCTGTTGTTTCTTTTTCTTTGTCATGACAACAACTCAATTTTATTATTATTAATATCATAATATTAAATATAATTAATAAAATTTCTAGACATGTAATGTTTTCCTTAGCCAATAGACAATATTTGCTTATTTTTCGCTGGCTGATAAGAAGATTGTTGACACAGTGGAATGTCTATGCACGTGGTATGACGATCGGAAATTAATTCTCAATATATGTATACATGTTTATATATAAATTAATGAGCCAAAAATGAGATATTGATTAAAATAACTTTTAAAAGATCCACAGCAAGGGGTGGATTTTTATAAAATATTTCTTTTAACACGCAACACAACGCATGGATTTAAAAAAAAATATATATATTTTTTTTGCCATACCCAGCAAGACGTATTTACCACACCATACTGTTGTACAGGGTATTATGTCTTTGTGCATATGTTTGTAAGAGGCAAAAGGAAACCATATAGACACAAGGTTTTTTCGTCCGATTTAAGGTAAATGGTGCACCAGAGACCCTATATATCTTTCGATTTGCACGAAATTTGGCACAGCGCACTGAATTAAATATAGAATGATGTGTGCCAAGTTTCGTGAAAATTGGTTCAAATTTAGATATAGCTCCCATATTTTTATACCCTTCACCACAATGTGGTACAGGGTATTATGTCTTTGTGCATATGTTTGTAACAGGCAAAAATAATCGAGATAGACCCATGGTTCCTTTTGAGAATTTGCATAGAATCACTTTCTGATTCGATTTCTGTCCGTCTGTCCGTCCATGTATTTGTACAGGTCGCATTTATGATCCGATTTGGATGAAATTTGGCACAGGTCGCTTAATTGGCCCAAGGACGAACCCTATAGAAAATCGGTCCACGTTTAGGCATAACTCCCATATAAGGGTACCCTCAAATGTTCGGTATTTTGAGGTTCTTGAGCGCGTTTTTAACTGAATTCGCTGAAATTTGGTACTTTGAGTTCTTATTGGGTAGCAAATTTCCCTACCAAAAATTATAAATAAAGGTCCATTTTTTCGGATAGCCCGGATAGAGGTTCTTGAGCGCGTGGGCTCGTTTTATAACTGAATTCTCTGAAATTTTGTACATTGGGTTCTTATTGGGTACCAACTTACTCCACTAAAAATTATAAATATAGGTCCAGTTTTTCTGGTAGTCCCCATATAACGGTACCCCCAAAATGTTGGTATTTTGGGGGTTCTGATCGTATTTTTCGACCGAATTGACTGTAATTTAGTACGTCGAGTTCTTATTAGGTAGCAAATCTCTTCAGTATTAATTATAAATATTGTTAATTTTTTTCCATATAAGGGCACCCCCCAATTTTCGGTATTTTGAAATTCTTGAACCAAATTCTTTTTATACCCTTCACCACACTGTGGTACAGGGTATTATGTCTTTGTGCATATGTTTGTAACAGGCAAAAGAAAACGAGATAGACACATGGTTCCATTTGAGAATATGCATAGAATCACTTTCTGAGTCGATTTGAGCTCGAAATTTGGCACAGCGTAACAAATTAGGTCTAGAATGATGTTTCCTGAAAATCGGTTCAGATTTATATATAGCTCCCATATATATTTTCGTCCGCTTTTAGGTATATGGTGCACCAAAGTACCTATATATCTTTCGATTGGCATGAAATTTGGCACAGCGTAATGAATTAAGCCTAGAATGATGTGTGCTTAGTTTCGTGAAAATCGGTTTAGATTTAGATACAGCCCCCATATGTATTATTGGCCGATTTAATATAAATGGTGCCTAAAGTCCCTATATATCTTTCGATTTGCACAAAAGTTAGCATAGCGTACTGAATTAAGTTTAGAAAGATATATGTTAAATTTCGTGAAAATCGGTTCAGATTTAGATAGAGCTCCCATATATATTTTCGTTCGATTTTAGGTAAATAGTGCACCAAAGTCCCTATATATCTTTCGATGTGCACGAAATTTGGCATAGGCTACTAAATTAGGTACAGAATGATGTGTGATAAGTTTCGTGAAAATCGGTTCAGATTTAGGTATAGCTCCCATATATTTTTTCGTCCGATTTTAGGTAAATGCTGAACTGAAGTCTATATATATCCTTCGATTTGCACGAAATTTGGCATAGGCTACTAAATTAGGTACAGAATGATGTGTGATAAGTTTCGTGAAAATCGGTTCAGATTTATATATAGCTCCCATATATATTTTCGTCCGCTTTTAGGAATATGGTGCACCAAAGTCCCTATATATCTTTCGATTTGCACGAAATTTGGCATAGGCTACTAAATTAGGTACAGAATGATGTGTGATAAGTTTCGTGAAAATCGGTTCAGATTTAGGTATAGCTCCCATATATTTTTTCGTCCGATTTTAGGTAAATGCTGAACTGAAGTCTCTATATATCCTTCGATTTGCACGAAATTTGGCATAACATAGTGAATTGAGCCTACAATTATGTGTATTAAGTTTCGTGAAAATCGTTTCCGATTTATATATATATATATATATATTCGCCCGATTTAAAGTAAATGAGACTTATATTTTCTTCGATTGGCACGAAATTTGGCATAGCGTACTGAATTCAGTTCGGAATGATATATGATAAGTTTCGTAAAAATTGGTCCAAATTTAGATACAGCTCCCATATATAGTATCGTCCGAATTTATGTAAATGGTGCAGCAAAGTCCCTATATATCTTTCGATTTGCACGAAATATGGCATAACTTACTGAATTGAGCCTAGAGTGATGTCTGCGAAGTTTCGTGAAAATCGGTCCAGATTTAGATATAGCTTCCATTTATAGTTCCGTCCGATTTTATGGAAATGGTGCGCCAAAGTCCCAAAATATCTTTCGATGTACACGAAATTTGACATATCGTACTGATTTGAGTCTATAATGATGTGTGCTAAGTTTCGTGGAAATCCGTTCAGATATAGATACAGCACCTACTAAAGTTGCACCAAAGTTCTTATATCTTTCGTTCAATTTCATGTCAATGTTCTTTCGAAAAGGCGATGTGTGCTAGGAGACTATGTAGAATATACACAAAGTGGTGAAGGGTATCATATAGTAGGCCCAGTCCGACTCTACTACTTTCCTTACTGGTTTTAAAATATTTTTTTTTTTAAGTAGTACACCAAGGCGTGGATTTTTTAAAAATATTTTCATAATTCATATTTTTTATTTATTTTTTATTATATTTCACTTAAATAAATAATAATACATTTTTTGTCTACACCACCTCTGTAATCTCCTCCATTTGTAGGGCACATACCTCCGGTTGTCCATCAATTTTGCCATCCTCTTTCATACACTCCACATAATTCCCTTTGGATTGCTCCTCTAAAACCCTTTTAACTTCAGTCGCATTTTCTTCAGCATAATAGGAGAATGCCAATGCCACCGTGGCGCCCAACACCGAACCCGCGGCAACATCTGACCAAAAATGTTTGTAATCAAAGACACGACTGATGGCAACCATGGCAGCAACACTGAGACACAATAATTGTATGACCAAAATCAAGGGACGATATAGAGTGGCAAAAAATCCTTGATTTCCTTTCAGCACTTCGAAGCTCCTTCGGAAATATAACACCAAGTAGAGTAGACCATAAAATGCCAAACTTGAGTGGCCACTGGGAAATGACTTATAAATGGATGAACCGCGATGGCTACTGCCACTGCAGGTATATTCCGCTATATAAACAGAAGCTCCAGATAGTTGTTCACACGTAAAACCCTCCAAGCTGATGGGTTGACACAAGGTGTAGGCATGAGGTCTCAAACGTCCCACGCTTACTTTCAGGAGATTTTTCAAAAATCTTTCACATGCAAAACCACACAGGAAGGGCATGCCAGCCAAATACAAATGCACGAAGAATTTCTTCAAGTTCCGCACACCCTTTCCCTTTTCCATTATGAGATGAAGTAGTTCGTTTAGAATGATAACAATAATGGGTGTGTCCAAACCAATTACATACAACAGCTTCCAATCGATGGTATCCTCCACATAGGGTTGCCGAATACTCATATCCATGCAATTAATTCCACGTTTGCGGGGAGGCCCCAAAATCATTTCCAAATTCATACTCAGCCAGTAGATGATGATAAATGGCCCGGCTATGGCAATTTGTTTGAAGACAACCAGATTCACTCGATTCATTTTTGTTTTGTTCGGCAATTTGTCCGCTCTTCTTAAAATCGGTGACGTTTTGGCCGCCACCCTTAGAATAGTACTACAATTTTTTCTTTGGATTTAGTTCATCTCACAATTGCGATGCGATGTTTACTATGGAAATTTTTTTTATGGTATCAATTGACCGTAGAGCAGAACTATGTGCAAAGATTGTAGTAATGGGGAAAGTATCCTCAGGCGCAAAGGAGAGATTTTTTCCACCATGAGGTTGGCATTTAAAAATACCTAATTTAAAACCCGGGACCTTTGTTGAATTTTTCCAGGGAAGAAATATTTTATTCACCAGGACTGTGGAATGCCTGGAATGAATTATAGGCACTTCGGTAATAAAACTGCGGCAAAAAACTCTCGAAATACCGAACATAGTGCAGAATCTTTATATGGAGGCTGCGGCAAAATATCGATCTTTATCGAAAGTATTTTGCTATGATATTTTTTAACCCTTCAGGAACCTAGATTGACAAGTTATAGACACTTCGTTGGGCAGATGCAGCTTCAAGCTGCAGAAAATGGGTCGGAACCTTTTTATGAGGCCTACGAAGAAACTTTAAAGAAGTTATTTACCTACCAAGATCTCGAAATAATACTTCGTAAGGCTAAAATATAGTCACATCGGATGGAAAAAGTACCTATCTATAATATAGCTGGTCCATTATATGGAAGCTGTACCCATAGATCGACCGATATTTGTAAATTTTAGTATGAAAGTGGTACGGGACCTTTATATTGGGTCTATGTAAAGAATACAATCTATATAGATATATTTCAGGAAAATATTTTTTCACCCTAAAAAAGTCCAGAATTCCAAACTATAAGCACTTCGTGGAAAAATGTGGTTAAAACCTTCAGAATACCGAAAATGTGTCCGGACCTCTAAATGGTGGCTATGGCAAAACGTAAACCTATAGAATTTTTTGTTTTGTTTAGATGTATGACAGCCTCCAAGAACCCGCAATGACAAAATACAGGTCTTTCGGTTAGAAAATGTGGTTAAAACCTTCAAGATAGCAAAAATCGGTCGGGACCGAGCAGCTATATCAAAACATCGCTCCATATTGAAAAATTTCAGCACTGATGTATTTTAGCCTCCATTAACACGAAACCCAAATTACAGCTACTTTGGTGGAAAAATGCGTCAAAGACCATCAAAATTCCGAATAATAGGGTGAGACCTTTATATGGGAAGCTATGACATAACATCGATCCATATTGAAAATTTTCTGCATAGATGAGTGTCTGGCTTCAACAGCCCAGAATACCAAACTACAGGCATATTGGGTGGGGAAATGCGGCCAAAGCCTTCAAAATATCGAAAATGGAGCGGGACTCTGTATGGGGATATATGACCTAACACCTAACGACCTTTATTAAAAATTTTCTGCACAGATGTATTTCAGCCTACATTAACCAGGAATCCAAAATTACGGACAATTTGGTGGAAAAATACGTCTAAAACCTTCAAAATACCGAATAATAGGGTGGAACCTTTATATGGGGTATATGACAAAACATAGGCCTATACTGATATTTTTCTACACAGAGGTATGAGAGCATCCAAAAACAAGTATGATCGAATTTCAACCTTTTTTTTTGGTTGGAATATTTTTCACCCAATGAGAACCCAAAATACCAAGTTACCACCAATTCGGTTGAAAACTGTGCCCGAAATCCGCCAAATACCGAAAATCGGGGTTACCACTAAATGTGGTCTATACCTAAAGGTGTTCCGATATTGATAATTTTTGGTAGCAAGTTTTGTCACCCTATGAGAACCCAAAATACCAAATTGCAGCCTATTCGGTTGACAAACATGTCCAAAATCCCCAAATTTCCGAACATCAGGGGTTCCGCCAAATGGGGTCTATACACAAAGATGCACCGATATTGATACTTTTTGGTATGACGATTTATCACCATATGAAAACTCAAAATATCAAATTACAGCCAATTCGGTTGAAAACTGTGCCCATAATCCCTAAAATTCTGAAAATCGGAAGTATCGCTAAAGGCGGGCTTTTATGTAAAGATGTCCCGATTTTAATAATTTTTAGTAGGAAGATTTATCACTCTATGAGAACCCAAAATACCAAATTATACCCCATTCCGTTAATAAATGAGTCCACAATCCTCAAAATTCCGATAATCGGAAGATATCGCTATATGGGGGCTATATCTAAATGTGGACCCATATTAAAAATTTTTGGTGGAAAGAATTATTACACAATGAGATAGTAAAATAATTAACTTTGAATGAGTCCACAATCCTCAAAATTCCGATAATCGGAAGATATCGCTATATGGGGGCTATATCTAAATGTGGACCCATATTAAAAATTTTTGGTGGAAAGAATTATTACACAATGAGATAGTAAAATAATTAACTTTGACACAATTCGGCTAATAATTGTGCCCAAAATCCGCAAAATACCGAAAATCGGAAGTATCGCTAAAGGAGGGTCTTATGTGTAAAGTTGTCCCGATAATAATAATTTTTGGTAGGAAGTTTTTTCACCCAATTATAATCCAAAATATCAAATTACAGCCAATTCGGTTGATAATTGTGCCCAAAATCCGCAAAATACCGAATATAAGGTGTATCGCTATATGAGGGCCATACCTAAAAGTGGACCGATATTGATGGTTTTTACATGGGTGATTTGTCAGCCCATAAGAACCCAAAGTGTCAACAAGGAGTGACAAAATTCCGAAAATCGGAAGGTAACCCTTACTGGGACTTCAAAAATCCTTTAAATGTCGAAACCCGGAGGCTAACCTGGACCGATATTAATAATTTTTGTTGTAGGTAGATTTTTCGCACAATGAGAACCCAAAACAGTAAATTAAAACTAAATCAGTTGATAAAACGTGAAAAACTCCCCAAAATTCCAAAATTTGGAAGGTACCATTATACTATAAAAAGTGAACCACATTTCATAATTTTTGACAGGTTGCGGATTTCATAGGATTTCCTATTCCTTATCCAAAGAGAACCCAAAATACCAAATCACGGTTGAAAAAAAGTTGACCAACATACCATAAATCATGGGTACAACTAACTGGGGGCTATACCAAAACGTGGACCGATATATCTCATTTTCAATACCAAACATCCTAGGAGTGGTAACAAAGTCTGTGCAAAATATCAAAGCTCTATCATAAAAATTGCGGACTCTATGGATGAGGGTATAAAAATTTCCTTCGTTTTTGTTGGTATACTTCTCCCTATTGCTGTTATTGTTCTACCTCCCTATATTCGTTGTTTTTTTCATTCATAGTTCGTTATCGCCAACCAACATCAAATCTCGTCAAAGTTATGCGATCCGTTGCAGTGTAATTGCGAAGCTAACAGAATCTATTTATAAATAAAGAAAATCAACAGAATTGAAAACAAAACTCATTCATAAAGAAAAGCTGAGATTCACCGAGAGTGAAAACGAGAGCTGAGATAAGCTTTTAAATAATTTACGTAATTCACTGTAGAGTTGCATTTTTTAAATTTTTTATATAGCCTACTTTTAGAATTTTTTAAACGTTTTAGATATGGGTTGGACCACGCCGGACCTCTATCGATGGTATATTTTTGAATGGGGACAGATATTGAAAGTGCATCATTTAAGAGTTTATAAAAGCATGAAATTTTATTATCAATACTACCCTTACTGAACCAATTAATGCTTGATAACGTTTCTTGAAGCAATACTAAATTTGCTTTAGCAAAGTTTAATTTTTTTATTTTACAAGTTTTTGAGGCGACATTCGTTAATTGATTGTATTCCAAATTAATACTCAAAGTTGGGTGGTAATTATCTTCTGGTTCCACAAAAGGCAAACACCTACAGAGGGAAACATTTGAAGTTGTAGTGAAGACTAAATCCAGAATTTTATCTTTAACGTTTCGGATGCTGTTAATTTGAAATAAACATAGGTCATAAATATACTCCCATAACATATCCATGCCAGTAGATGCAACAGGTATATAATCAATATAATGTTCACCCCTGATCCATGTAGTGTTAGGCAGGTTAAAGTCACCTAGGCAAATCAATTCAGTATTTGTTGAATATGAGGATGTAATTTCCTTAATAATCTCAAAGTGTTTTAAGTAAATTTCTAGATTAGAATTTGGAGCAATGTAGGAGCAAGTTAATAAGATAGAAGAATTTGATATTTTTAATTTAATGCAGACTAATTCAATATCCGGATAAACCGGCATTGTGATGCGTTCTGAGGCAATGGAATTATGAACAGCAATCAGCACTCCACCGCCTATTTTATGTAATCTATCATTACGGTATATTTGATATTGATCAGAAAAAAGCTCACTATCGAAAATATCTGGTTTAAGCCATGTTTCCGTAAAAGCTAGAATTTTATATTCATTATCGAAAGACTTTAAGTAAATATTGCGAAGTTTCGTTTTTAAACCTCTGACATTTTGGTAAAGTATATTCAGTGAATTTTTCATAATTAGTTTTTTGAGAGAGGCAACACTGTTGGAGGTTTTGCCCTTTCTCTATACAAGAATTCTTTTACTAATACACCATCTGGCCAAAATTGTTTACAAACAAGAATACTAAATAAGTTATTTGGAACAATAACCTTAAACGAGGAAATTTCTCGAGGAGCTGCAGTGTTAAATTTAAAAACTTTGTATTCATTTACGTTAATGTCTTTTAATTTAGTACCAATGTAACTACGTATATTTTCCACTGTAGTGTTAGCATGTAATCTAGATATAAATACAGTTTTCCTAGGAGCAACCACAATTAATTCGTTGTTACTCGTAGAAGGTTCATTTAATGGTATAGAAGGTTGAGTAGGTATAGGGCTAGGAGTATTTACAACTATTGGAGGTATAATAGGAGGGCGTGAAAGGACATTTGGTGCGCTTGAATTGGAGGTCTCGATCGGTGAACTACAACTATCTCTTAGATTTAAAGTTATTGCGGCGGAACCACTATTTGAGTGAAGCGCTGGCAGCGCCAGATGGTTTCCACATGGACTAGGATTAGAATTGTTGCGTGGCGGAACCACAACGGGTGAGTTTAACGCAATTAAGTTGTCACCCTGAGCAACTACTAACGATTTTTTCCTTTTTGGAGAACCATCTGCAAACTCAAAGTTATTGAACATTTTTTCAAAATTTTCAAGGCGAGAATAAACCGAGTCAACGCCCCTTTTCAAGGCAACCATTTCAAGTTTAGCTTCCTTAAAGAGGCGATAAAAGTCTACTTCATAGGTTCTACATTCTACACATGCCCATCGCAAACCATTGTTACGATCACTAATTTTATCGAAAAGTCTTCCATTGAATCCAGCACACTTGAAATGAGCATGCTTATCACATAACCAACATGTTATAAGCCGCTCAGTTGTGCTTGTAATGGTACAACCTTCGTATAAACAAGCCATTATTTTAAGTAAGTGCCTAAAAATATGCTACACAAAAAATATTTAAAAACAATCAATAAAAACAAAAATGTAAACACAAAAGAAAAAACAGAGAAATGTCAAAAAACGAAAAATTACAACAAGAAAATAAAACACAATTGCAAACTTAATAAGGCACGAAAACAAATTTAACTTATCACTTCAATTTTTAAAATTAAAAGTGAGATTTCACAATGCACGTATTTTATTTTATTTAGGAATCACAATTTTTGAAACAAAAAGATTTTTGAAGGGTATCGATTCAAAATAAATAATATTTATTAACACTGATTTCGAACACCACAAAAAACACGTCAGAACACTTCAAGAGTTACCAGACATCTTGTTGAGGTATCTTTAGGTGAATAAGAACTCTACAATAATACGAATAGGTGAAGTGAAACACTATAGAGGTCTCTATAGGTGAGGAAAAAAAACTAAAGAGGTATAGGTGAATAGCATCACTATAGTGGTATGAATAGGTAAAGAGGTCCCTGTAGATGAGCAGAATCTACGTAGAGGACCGTCTTGGTGAGCAAAAGGTTTATAGATGATATAACTGGTGAATAAGAAGTCTACAGAGGCACAGAGATCCTTATAGGTAAGGAAGAGATCTATGGAGGTCTCTACAGGTTAATATGGACACTATAGTGGTACGAATAGGTAAAGAGAATCTCTATAGAGGTCCCTGTAGATGAGCAGAATCTACGTAGAGGGCCGTCTAGGTGAGCAAAATGTTTATAGAGGATATAACTGGTGAATAAGAAGTCTACAGAGGCACAGAGATCCTTATAGGTAAGGAAGAGATCTATGGAGGTCCCTACAGGTTAATAGGGACATTATAGTGGTACGAATAGGTGAAGAGATTCTCTACAGAGGTCCCTGTAGGTGAGCAGTATCTACGTAGAGGACAGTCTTGGTGAGCAAAAGGTTTATAGAGGATATAAGTGGTGAATAAGAAGTCTGCAGAGGTACAGAGATCCTTATAGGTAAGGAAGAGATCTATGGAGGCCTCTATAGGTTAATAGGGACACTATAGTAGTCTGTATAGGCCTGTATAGGTAAATAGGAACACTACAATAGTAAAAGTAGATGAAGAGTAGGTCTATAGAGGCCTCTATCGGTTGGCAAGAACTACGTAGACTTCCTTATAGTTGAACTGAAACAATGTAGAGGTCGGTATAGGCGAAAATAAGGTTTCTAGTGCACATTCAAGGCGCGGAAGAATTCTACAGAGGTAAAGAAGGTGAGGAAGCAGTCTATGGAGGCATCTATTGGTGAATAGCATCACTATCGTGGTACGATTAAGGGAAGAGGACCTCTATAAAGGCCCTATAGTTATACAGGAACTCTGTAGAGATCCGCATTAGTGACGGGAGGGTTTGTAGAGGATCTTATTGGTGAGGAAGGAATCTACAGAGGTCCCTGTAGATATTGAAGAATTCTATAGAGGTTACTATAGGTTAATAGGAAAACTATAGTTGTTTTTGTAGCAGTTTATATGAATTGTATATTTCCTGTTAAGTTTCCTCCAGTTCTGTCTCCAGATTTAGAAATGCAGCAACCTCCACTGGCTTTAACCCCAGATCCTCCGGAGTAAGGTGAGTAGATTTGGCTGGGCAATTGAACAAGTGCAGTGTGGTATGAGGGCCTGTACCACGTGCTGCCCAGACATCCTGCACCTGGTCATCAAACCGTGCCCAATACGAATTGAGCCGACTGCACCATCCAGAACTGAGCCAAAACTACTCTGGTTTGTCTGGGCAGCTGACGTTCCTCAGCTGCAATGGGTGGGTGGTGAGCTCCGAGGACGGCATTCACTTTGTAACCATTCAGCGCTGCGGCTACTGCATCTGTATGAATGCCATTCAGACCTGCTCGATAGGCAACTTGATCACTCTCTAGATCATGCAGATCCTTCCTGACACGCCTGGGTGGGGGAGTCCTATCCACCGTATGATGGTTGGGATGATTGTCCCTGAAACACCCGAGCAGGTACTGCAACGAAAGCATATTGCTATGCTGACGTACGGGAAAGATCTTCATCTCCTCATGAAGATGGTCCACTGGTGTCATGAGGAGGCACCCTGTCGCTGTCCTCAGGGCGGCATTCTGACAGGTCTGAATATTTTTCCATTGCATATCACTGGAATTCGCAGACCACACTGGAACCGCATAGCTAGCCACAGACCGACCTATCGCTTTGTAAGAGGTCAACAAGGTTTCCTTGAGGACCTTGTTCCTACTTTTCAGCTTATCGCAGAAAGCTGTGGTTTGCGTGGACGACTTGAACGTGCTGTCGAATGTGACCCCGAGTATTTTGGGGTAGTTAGTGGTCGGGATTTTATGCCCCTCGACTTGCACATTCAACGGCATTCTCATCTCCGCAGTCCATGTGGTGAATAGTGTGGCTGACGACTTCGAGGCGGATATTTTCATATTCCCCGCTTTGAAGAATGCTGCTAAATCGATGAGATAGGCGTTCAACCTCACACATATGTCTTCAACAATGGGACCCGACGCCATAATCGTACAATCATCTGCATACGTAACGATTTATATGCTGTCCGGAGGGCGTGGAATACCGGAAAGGTAAAGGTTAAACAATTCCGGAAAAATCACTCCACCCTGGGGAACTTCCTGTTTAACTCTACGGGGTTTGGACTTCTTGTTCCGGAACTCCACCTACGACTGGCGTCCTCACATATAGTTGATTATCCAACGTTTCAAACTCGGCCGGAGGGAAGTGTTCTGGTTGACAGTATCAAAGGCTTTTGATAGGTCAAGCGCTACCAACACTGTAGGATAACTATAGTGGTACGAATTGGTGAAGAGAAGCTCTATAGAGGTCGCTTCAGATGAGCAGAATCTATGTAGGGATCGGTATTGGTGAAAAAAGGGTTTATAGTGGATATAGTTGGTGAGCAATAAGTCTACAAATTTCTCTATAGGTAAGGAAAATGTTTACGAAGGTCTCTATAGGTGAATATGAGCACAATAGTTCTACGAATATGTAAATAGCACTCCTATAGGATATCCGTAGAGGTTCTTATAGGTCAACAGAAACCATTTTAGTGTTCGGTATTTGCAAAGAGGAGGTTTATTGCTGATATTATTGGCGAAGAAGAAGCCTATAAATGTCCATATAGGCATTTATAGGCTTTTATATAGAAAGAGGTCTCTGGAGGCCTCTATAGGTAAATAGGAGCATTGAGGTGGTACGAATAAGTAAAGAGAAACTCTATAGAGGTAAGCAGGAACAATATAGAGGTCTCTAATGACGAAGAGAGGGTTTCTATTGAATAATATAGGTTAGGAGTAAATCTCCAAAGGAATGAAAACTCTGTAGAGGACCCTATAGATGACCAGGAATTATTTGGGGTACTTATATGTGAGCTGATGTTATGTATAGGTTCGTATTGAGAGATGTAATAGTGGATATTATTGGTGAGAAAGAAGTCCAAAGAGGTCTCTACGGTAAGGAAGAGGCCCATGGAAGTCAATATAGGTGAATAGGAGCACTATACTGGTACGAATAGGCAAAGTGGTCCGTTTATGTAAGCAGGTGAATATGAGCACTATAGTTGTATGAATAGGTAAAGAGAACCTCTATAGAGGTCCCTATAGAGCTCCATATTGGTAAGCAACTGTGAAGATAAGTTCTATAGAGTTCCCTACAGGTGAGCAGGAAATCCGCAGAGGTTCATATAGGTCAACAGAAACAATTTAGAGTTCGGTATTTGCAAAGAGGAGGTTTATAGATGATATTATTGGTGGAGAAGAAGCCCAAAGAGGACCATATAGGTAATGAAGAGGTCTCTGGAGGCCTCTATAGGTAAATATAAGCATTGAGGTGGTACGAATAAGTGAAGAGAAATTCTATAGAGGTAAGCAGGAACAATGTAGAGGTCCCTAATGATGAAGAGAGGGTTTCTATTGGATAATATAGGTACTGGTACGAATAGACAAAGTGGTCCATTTATGTAATCAGAAACTCTGTAGATGTTCTAATAGGCGAGGAGAAGTTATGTAGAGATCCTGATCGGAGACTATGTTGAGGTCCGTATTGGTAAAGGAAGGGGTCTACGGATGTTCATATAGTTAGGTTCTTATAGGTGAGCAGAAATTATGTAGAGGTCCTGATCGGAGACTATGTAGAGGTGCGTATTGGTGAAGTAAGGGGTCTACGGATGTTCATATAGTCGAACAAGAGGTTTCGGAGTACTATAGTAGATATTCACGCATTATGGAAGGCTTGAAAAAATATATTTTTTTAATCCACTCCTAACGGAAAGCTTATGGGGGGCTTGAAGAAATATTTTTTATAAAATCCACACCTTATAAAAATATTTTCTATTTTTTATAAATAATTGAATATCTTGGTGTGTTGACCACAGTGGGATTTTTTGTTTTTTTTTTATAGAAATTATAATTAAACATAAAAATAAGTGTTCCAAACAAAAACAACAACAATAGAATAATCACTTCTTTCTTTAAATGTGTGACAGAACATGAACTTCATCTACATTCGATGTATCCACTGCTAGTGATGTTGATGCCGTTGCATATGAACTGCTACCCGATATTCTCCCTAAAATTGGCGTCTGCTGTTGCTGTTGTGGCACCACCACTTGTACATCTTGCTGCAGTGTGGGTGCTCTCTTCGGTATATGGACAGCCTCAAGGAATGTTCGACCACCTTTCAGATGACCATGTACATAGCGGCAAACCGCAATACCAACACCTAAGCCCAACAGGCAGCCAGCCAAAACATCTGACACGTGATGTTTGTAGTCCGTCACACGGCTAATGGCCACAAACCAGGCCCAGAGTACGGCGCCGAATTGCAGCAACGGCACGAATAGCCCATAGTTGGTGCGATAGTGGCGCAGTGAACGGCCGAAGCGTTGCAAATAGTACACGCAAAAGATCATGCTGTAACAGGTCAGGCTGGTGTGGCCACTGGGAAAGGATGTTCGCATGCCGTAGTTAATTAGCCTTGAATTGGAGTTTTGCAAACCCCGGCAGGTATAGTTTTGAATATAGATTCCATGATTCATTTCCCAGTCACAGGTGGTCTCGTCATCGAGAAGTGGCTGACAAACCGCAAAAAAAAATGGCCTTAAGCGGCCCACCGAAAATTTGCCAATTTCTTTGAGTAAACGTTCGGCGGCAAAACCAAAAAGGTAGGGCAGCAGCGAGACATGCACCATCAGCCATGCCCTAATGCATTTCTTAGACGGTCGGCTATTTAGCACGAAGTTCTCCATAAGGGCAATGACCACAATCATCACCACGGGCAAAGCCACACCAATGCCATAGAGTTGCCGATGGCTGACGGTATCCTTGTGTAGAGGATACATCAACGATTGGTCGCCACAAAAGAAGCCATGTTTTTTAATTGGTCCCCATAACTTGGGAATATTCAGCGACAGGGCCAACAGGAAGGTGACAATAATGAAATCACTTAAGAGGCGCAACAAATATTTTAGTTTCACAAACATTTTCGCTTTCACTTCCAACGATCTATACTAGTGTGCGGATTTAATAAAACTGAAGCTATTTTCTTAATAAGTCATAAAAATAAATGCTGCGGATTTTTTTATTATAAAAAAGAAGACATCTAAGTCATCAATTGTGGTAAACCACAGGCAGTCTAAATTTGGTTTAAGCTATAGGCAGAGTGTGATTAACCATCTGAAAAAATCATATGGGCAATATATCGGAAGACTACTACTCCCTACAAATATTAAAAAAAATCCAGCTTGTCCATTCAGTCAAATTTGACGTCGAAAAGCTGCAAACACAACAGATAGCAGAACCCTACTCCGCTCAACTTACCCAACTGCTTGACGAAAGCACCCCTGGTCCCGCTAATAATATAGAAGCACAATGGCAGAGAATTGCCCACTCCCTCCAAACTGCAGCAAAAGCAACACTCGGGTACCAAAGACCACCATCAAGAAATCTGTGGTACGATCTGGAGTGTCGTAATGTTACTGATGTGAAAAACGCAGCATATAGGGCAACGCTGCGGACAGTAGCAACACGTAATGCGATGGAGAACTATCGGTAGAAAAGGAGAGAAGAGAAACGTATTTTCAGAAAAAAGAAGAAAGAACAAGAAAAACGTGAGCGTGAGCAAATCGATATGTACCGGAGTCAGAATGAAGTCCGAAAATTCTACCAACGGGTAAAACACCAAACCGAAGCCTTTGGTGCAGGCACATTCTCCTGTAGAGATAAAGAAGGAAATCTGGTGACAGATACAGACAGCGTGCTGAGGATCTGGAAGGAGAATTTTGAAAAACTTTTGGTATCAAATAGTAGCGGTGAAGAGGATACCCCAGAACCAACAATAGATGAGTGTATAGCCAAGATGAAGTCAGTATGGCAATCAATCGGCTAAAGAATAATAAAGCAGCAGGAGCCGATGGGTTACCAGCCGAACTATTCAGGAGCATGCACCAGGCGATTGGTACAATTTGGCTAAACGAAGGCTTGCCCAATGATTGGAACCTCAGCATCCTGTGTCCCGTGCCCAAAAAAATGAGTCAAGACGATATTTGCCAACTATAGAGGAATAAGTCTCCTTCCCATCGCATATAAAGTGCTATCCATCGTACATACATACACATACCACCTATTCGTCGACCATTCAGCCGCATTCGACAGCCCTATCCGCTCAGAGGTGTATAAAGCCATGTCTGCGTTTGGCATTCCTGCAAAATTAATTCGGCTATGCAGGATAACTTTAACTGGCACAAGATCAGCAATTAAAGTTGGAAAGAACCTATCGGAGCCTTTTAATACCGAACGAGGATTAAGATAAGGAGATAGTTTGTCGTGTGACTTTTTTTACATACTGCTGGAAAAGGTCATACGAAAGCAAAATTCAACAGAAATGACACTCTGTACACCAAACAACACATGTTACTCGCTTATGCCGATGACATCCACATAATGGGTCAAACACTGAGAGCGGTAAGAGGCACTTTCGACACAAATCGAGGAGGAGTCTGCTAAAGTGGGTCTGGCAGTAAACGGGGAGAATACCAAGCTGATTGTATCAACGGGCAAGACGTCCAGTAGACTCGGACCAACTGTGAAACTTGAGAAGTACAGGTAGTCAAAGATTGTATATACCTTGGTATCGCCATAAATAAAACGAATGACATCAGTTTTGAAATTCGGAGAAGGATAGTGATGGCCAACAGATGCTACTATGGTCTGAGCAAACAACTCAAAAGCAAGGCCACTTCCTACCAGACCAAACTCACATTCTACAAGACGCTGATATTACCCGTGCCGTTATGTAGATCTGAAGCATGGATACTTGCGCAAGCAGATGAGGCAGCACTTGGAGTGTTTGAGAGAAAAATTCTCCGAAAGGTCTATGGGCCGATCTGCGCTGACGATGAATATCGCCGTCGAATAAACCATGAGTTGTACCAGCTATTCTCGGACATTGACATTGTTAGACGTATTGAACTACAGCGACTACGTTGGCTAGGTCATGTTGTGAGAATGGATGAAGATACCGCAGCCCAGAAGGCATATAAAAGCGAACCAGCTGATGGTTGACGCAGAAGGGGAAGGTCAAGAATACGATGGAAAGATCAAGTGGAAGAAAACATTGCCGAAAATGGTCTTTCAAATTAGAAAAACTGCGCAAAAGATCGACGCGCCTGGAAATCTTTTATAATCTCGGCTTATGGAACAAAAGTTCTGTCACAAGCCAACTAAGTAAGTCACTACGCTATGCCAAATTGCGTGAAAATCTAAGGATATATAGGGACTTTAGTGCACTATTTACCGAAAATCGGACGAAAATAACGGGCTCAAATATAGATGGGACCTATATCGAAATCTGAACCGATTTTCTCGAAACTTAGCGCACATCGTTCTAGACTCAATTCAGTGCGATATGCCAAATTTCGTGCAAATCGAAGTATATAAAGGGGCTTTGGTGCACTATTTATCTAAAATCGGACGAAAATAACGGGCTAAAATATAGATGGGACCTATATCGAAATCTGAACCGATTTTCTCGAAACTTAGCACACATCGTTCTAGACTCAATTCAGTGCGATATGCCAAATTTCGTGCAAATTTTCGGAGTATATAAAGGGGCTTTGGTGCACAATTTATCTAAAATCGGACGAAAATTTATTTGGAGCTAGACAAAATCTGAACCGATTTTCTCGAAACTTAACACACAGCATTCTAGACCTAATTCATTACGCTGTGCCAAATTTCGTGCAAATCGAAGGATATATGGGGACTTTGGTGCACAATTTACCTAAAATCCGACGAAAATATATATGGGAGCTCTATCGAAATGTGAACCGATTTTCACAAAACTTGGCAGACATCACTCTAGGCTCAATTCAGTACAATATGCCAAATTTCGTGCAAATCGAAGAATATATAGGGTCCTTAATGCCCCAATTACTTTAAATCGGACGATAATTTATATGGGAGCTATATATAAATCTGAACCGATTTTCATGAAACTTAACACACATCACTTTAGACTTAATTTGGTACGCTGTGCCAAATTTCGTGTAAATCGAAAGATATATATGTACTATGGTGCACCATTTACCTTAAATAGGACGAAAATATATATGGGAGCTATATCTAAATTTGAACCGATTTTCTCGAAACTTAGCACACATCATTCTAGACTTAATTTAGTACGTTGTGCTAAATTTCGTGCAAATCGAAAAATATATAGGGACTTTGGTACACAATTTACCTTAAATCGGGCCAAGATGTATATGGGACCTATATCGAAATCTGAACCGATTTTCTCGAAATTTAACACACATCACGCTAGACTTAATTTGGTACGCTGTGCCAAATTTCGTACAAATCGAAAGATATATAGAGACTTTGGTACACCATTTACCTTAAATCGGACGAAAATATATATGGGAGCTATATCTAAATCTGAATCGATTTTATATTTTTTTTGCTTTAAAAAATTGAAAATGTTGCCATAACCATACTCAATATCCATATCTTAATTATTATTAGAAAAATTCCATTTCCATTTCTTTTCAAATAAATCTGCTATTCATTAAATTGCCGATTGAAATGAAAATGCATAACATGTGTTCGTCCGTTCGCTCGTTCCATCACAAGATTCGAGTATTCAAATTGAGATAAATACAAAATCCATCCATAAACATGAATAATACTTCATGTAAGTATCAATGATATCTCATTTGGTGAAAAAAAACATACAACCAAATTACATTAATGTAAACATTTTCTTTTCAATGCACCGCCGGACGGATTGAATGGCTGCCAGTCAACCAGGCAGCCAGCCTGGCATCCAACCTGAATGCCTTGCCATTTATATGGACTGTATGGTGGCGCTGCTGCAGATGGAACTCTTTCAGTCTAAAGTCAGTTGGTGGTGTTGGATCGATCGAATTGAAATATTTTTTTCTCTTTTGAATTTTTCATATTTCAAAAGACGAAGTGTGCCGGGCATCACTGAATGCACCTCTCCTCCGCAGTCGTGTCATTAGTCATGTCAATTCATAAATGAGTTGCGATGTGTGCATTAAATCGATTTTGTAATAAAAACAAAATTTTAAATATTTGTTTGGAATAAATGTGCCGGTAAATTATTGCCGATAATTTCGGATCGACTGATAGCGAAAGTTAATTTTCTTTAAATTGTTTATTTTAATAACACAAAAACAATTTACAAATTGAGGAAGTTTTATAAATAAAATTTAACACCGATAAGGAAATCTGGGTGAGGTCCTACTCATAAAAAATTAATCATACACTTGGCCCATTGCAGAGGGTCCCATTAGATACATAATAATCATATTAAATTAGTTTCCATATAATCTATAAAACCCTCCCCACCTCCGGGGCCACCAACCGGCATCAAATCATCTGTTTATGCGGTGTTAATAGCTTTTTCATGTTTTTTTACCTGGGCAAATTGGGGTTCACCTTTTATTTATAATCGATAAATTAATTTGTTATTGTTGTTGTTGTGGTTGTTTTCTTATTAATTTAAATAAAATCATCAAAAATCATGTTAATTACAAAGAAAACAACAATGTAGGCATGCTGATCTGATCTTACCCAACATTCCACAAATTGGTCGTCATACAAATGGGATCATGTTTGATTGCAACATATACATACCTGGAAGAAAGGGAGAAAAAGAAATACACATAAATATTTGGGCATAATAATTAAATGATAAAAATAGGTTATATTAAACCAGTAAGGAAAGTAGTAAAGTCGGACTGGGCCGACTATATGATACCCTTCACCACTTTGTCCTAACAAGTGCATGTCCATGTTCCCTCTTTCTCCAACCTATTCTAACTTTAATTTCATT